TGATGATCAAGCTTTCTCTTAGCTCCTAACCTTCCTGGAAGTCTCACACAACCTCCTCAGTTGTTTTGAAGACTAAATCATAATCATGTAGGCATACCTAGCTGCAAGGGGGTTATTAAAGAAGTATTTTCAATGGGAACACTGATATTCAGAATAGTATTAGTGTTCTATTACTAAAAAAAAAAAAATAAACTAAAACTTGGGCTAATGGGTGGCAGTTTCAGGGAGCTCACCTGCCAAAAGGTTCCGCAACACTGGAGATGAGCATGATACACTAAGAGCCAAACAGCCTGCCCACCCCACCTATATGTCTTATAGACATCTCTTATAGACATATTATAGACATGCTCTCCTCCATCTCTTATAGACACCAAGGAACAGGATAATGCCTTGCTCTCTGAAAGAGAGGGAGCCCTGACTATGAGCCAATCACCTTTGCCTAGGAGTGTGAGCACCACCCTCTGATCCCTTCCTTACTTTTACAAAGGCTTCAACTCAGGATTTCAGGATGCACATGAAAATATTTAGTTATCCTGACCAAACAGACACAAGTATAGATTGTGGATGTCTTCAAACTACCCTTAGTGTTAAAAACAACTGGTCCTGGGTGTCAGGAAGAACGAGAACCAAATCCCAGCTCTTTTCTTCAAAGAACAAAGTGAACTGGAGACCAAAAAATTTAAACTCTTTGCTCAACAAATGTTAGTTAAATTGGTTAAATATTTTCACGTGACATAAGAACTGAACCCTTTAAAAATGGAAACAGAGCATTAAAACATGACCTTGGAATTTTAATAGCTCATCCTAAACATTATAACCCCAAACATCATTTTTTTTTCTTTTTCTTAAGATGTCTTTTATTTTTCCAAAAACTGTTTTGAGTATTTCCAGTTTTCTCTCCTTTTTCTAGGTCTATTTTATCCCTCTTTCCTAGTGTTTTGTTTCTCTGAGCCTCTTTTTTTTTTTAATAGGGGGGGGAGGGAGGAGAGAGAGAGAATTTCAATATTTATTTTTCAGTTTTCGGCGTACACAACATCTTTGTTTGTATGTGGTGGTGAGGATCGAACCCGGGCCGCACTCATGCCAGGCGAGCGCGCTACCGCTTGAGCCACATCTCTAGCCCTCTGAGCCTCTTTTCTGCCCTGTTTTTTCTATTTTGTTTTTTTTTTGCTTTCCAAGATTCCCTGACCTCAGCTGTTCCCAGGCCTCCTTTCTAACCTCCACTAATCTCACCATTTCTTTTGGATTCTCCTGGCAATCCCCACCTGGCACCCTAATATTGTAGCACAGACTCACAGGCCTGCAGACCTCTCTGCCATCTACAGGTTTATTATTTCCATCAAATAGTTATCAGTAAGCATCTATCACCAGCATCCTTTTACATTCTGAGACCACAATGCGTATTTTCAGCCGATTTATTCAGATGATGTAAGCATACTGCAGTGCTTAGCTTACCTGAACTCCATTCTAGATCAGATAATGAAGAGATTAGAAGATCTCCTTATCTAAGCAGCAAAGGCTTTTGGAAACTCACCTAGGATAATCTTAATAATCTCTAAGTCTGTAGATGAAATGTTGAGTCACACTGCACACTATCACGAAATGCCATCACTCAAAATACTGTGCTCATTTCATGTCTATGTATAAAATATTTTTTTAATTTCTTATTTATAAATACCTATTTTATCTTCCTCTGTTGCTAAATGCTGCTGATATTCTCTTTCCCACATGCCAGAGTGTATCAAGTGTATCAAGGCAGAGAGGCACTATTTTTTTTATTTCTCCTCTTCCTCCTCCTCCTCCTCCTCCTCCTCCTCTTCCTCTTCCTCCTTCTTCTTCTCCTTATTCTTCTTCTTCTTCCCTTTAGATCATTCATAAAAAATTAACAATAAAGTATTGTGACTTTTGCCTACCCACAAATTTGATATCCTTTCTTACCTAGAGATAGGTGGTCCTACACTTCCTATCTATGTAACCCACAAAAAATTTGCTTGCTTTTCTACAACTCAGTTACCTAGGTTGTCAGAAAGAGTTAATAGTACCCACATGGCAGAACTGTTGCAAAGAACTAATGGTTGGGGGCAGTGGGTGTGAAGCATCTAGCCCAGTGCTCCGATTGATAGGCACCCAGGGCAAGGGGACAATCTGGTGGTGATGGTGATGATGGCCACCATGGAGCAATGAACTTGATGAAGGCAATGGTGATGGTGACTTCAGGGAGGATGTGAAGATGGAGGAGAGGCAGGTGCAGCTAGAGGGTACATACCTTGTCCTGTTACTACATTGACAAATTATGAGATCAGTTATTTGTGGTCTCAGTTTCTTTCCTTTGACTCTCACAAAGCCTACATTGTTTTTCTTCTGTAGGACCCAGTATACAGCACATTCCTTTCCTTTCCAAGCTTCTAAAGGCTCACAGCATCCCTTGGCTCATGCCTTCCTTCTTCCATCTTCAAAGCCAACAATGGTGTGTCAGGTCCTTCTGGGACTTTGGATGTCTCTTTGTCTTCTTCCATCTCATCTTTCTGACTTACTGCTCTGCCCTTCTCTTCTACTCTTCAAGACTCATGTATTTATACTTTTCCTATAAATCTTCCTATATTAAGGTCCAAAATCTGAATTCCATCTGTAAAATTCATTTTATCATATAAAATATCATTCTCAAGTCTCATGGGAAAAGGCCATCTTTGGTGTCCATTATTTTGTTTACACAGAGGGAGAGGAAAACACAGTCATGATGGGAATAATTCATACATTTGGGCATAACTTCTAAAGAATTCAGCCTTTCTCAGGGTTCAATAAGAAATAAAAGCCGTATGATTGTCTTAATCCATTTTGTTGCTAGAAAAAAATACCTGAGGTTAGACACTTTTAAAGAAAAGAGGTTTGTTTAGTTCTGGAAGTCCAAGAACATGGCATGAGCATCTGCTTAGCTCTGTTGAGGGTCAGATGGCATTGCATGGGAGGAACATGTGAAAGAGAGGATTGGTGGGGATAAAGAGAGATCACATGGTAAGTAAAGAAGCAAGAGAGTAACCTGAGGAATATGAGCTCATAACCACCCATTCATATGGGAGACCTGACCCACTCCCAAAAGACAGCATCATTACCCTCATGAGGGTGATGTGTTTACTTCTTCTAGAACCCCATCTCTTAAAAGGTTCCACCCTCTAAACACCCCCATACCAGGAATCAATTTTCCAGCACATGAACCATAAGGGAGAAACTATATCCAAATCAACTTGTTGTAGTAGAAAGATCACTGAGCTCAGTGCCATCTCTTTAACCTTGAGTCAGGAATGAAATGTCCGCAGATCTCTGGTTGCTCATCTATAAAACGAGGAAGTCTGTTTAGTGACATAAAAAGTTGTTTCCAGCTACAAAATCCTATCATGCAGCCAGAATAAATTTAATAGCCACCATCTCCTGAATCCTTTCATGAATTAGAATGACATTGCTTCACCAAAATTAAAGACAAGCTTGAGATTGCACCTTATGGTCCATGACTCATGTGGAGAATTATAATGAGAATGAAGCCCTGGTTTATTTTTTAATGAATTAGAATCCCATTGAAAGATAAGCGGGTGTTGTCAGTTTCTCAGCATGGAATTCTCCTGCTGTGAGCAGTCTCCTCATGGAAAGAACAGAAAAGTCAAGCAAAGAGCTAAACCTGAGAAAATGAGAGCCATTATATGCACAAATCTATTACTTCTAGAAACAGGAAAGCATTGACATCTGTAAAAATATGAATACTATTCCCATTAAGCAGTCCTTGAATTTAAACATGTCCCATTTGGAAAATGAATTTTTAAATTTTATCTACTCTTTTATAACTTTCTATCCTCTATTTCTATCTTAGATATTTCTAAATTTTTCAGTAGGAGTTCCCAACAGTATATGCAGAACAAAGATAATAATTTGTTTACAACATGCAACAGCCACTTTTCAATCAACTGGTTTTCTTTATGGCATTTTTTTTAAAATAATAGTATTTATCAACTAATTCAGAGTGATTTCCATTCATTTCTGTGACCCTTGCCATCATGAGAATGTAACCCATCTTGGCATTTGCCACATAACAGAGATGATTCCATTCACCATCTTTAAATAGACATATCCTTACTTAAGATTCTGCCAACACTTATGGATCATGTAATCTATGCTCCGCACTAGACTAGAAACTAGAAATACAAAGATGACAGGTGTGAAAATTTTCTTTTCAAGAATCTTAGGAAGAGACAAGTAAAACCATATTTGCGTAATAATTATTATTATAATTCAAGAGGTAGCTGGCATCATAACAACATACACTCAGTGCAGAGATGGTGCAATAAATAAGAGCTGGGGACCTGGAGAGGTGTCAGGAAGCTTCAAGAAAGTAGTCATATATAAACTGGGTTTTATTTTGCCAGCTGCATAAAGTAAGGAAGAGAATTTTACGCAAAATTAACAGTGTGTGCACAAAGGAAAAAAAGAGGGTGCATGTGTTTTAAAAAAAATCCTTCTCCATGAAATACCAATGTACATTAATCTACTTTACATTTTTGACATTCACCAACAATTCTGATCCAGTACATGCAATTTGCCAAAATAGATGCATATCAACTGGTGATAATTCCGAAAAGAAGCAATCGATATTTGAAAAATGACAAATTATATTGTAGAGGAGCAGAGATTCTATATTAAAACCTAAGGATCTATAAAAGTAAAAAAAAAAAAAGTTAAAACATTGATATTTAACTCCAATAGCTAATGAGGTAAAGACAGAGTTGTGGAAGGCAAGTTGACCAAGGCAAAGCCCAGAAAGAGTGAAAGTTGTCCAAGGAACAGACAGTGGAGGATGTGGGAATATATGTGAACAACTCCATAATAAAAAAATATTATGCTATCATCTAGGAAAAGGACTATGCCCAGGGAAAAATATGTCTTAATATATGTATGACTAGCAAAAGAAAAAATTTATAAGGATCTCTATAAAGCTGCGGAAAAGAATTTTTCAGTTACTCACTTCGACAGCACATACTCTACAATTGGAACAAGGCACACATTAGCATGGCTCCTGGACAAGGATGACATGCAAATTTGTGAAGCCGTCCATATTTTGTGCAGTTCTTAGAAGGTTATTTCACAATTGTACATTCTAAAAGGACAGTCTCAAAGTACAATAGATAATATCTAGTATTGAAATTGTAACTTTCATACAAAAAAAAGAAAAAAATTGTTCAAAGTTTCTAATGAAGAAAGTATAACTGGAGCTGAGTCTATCGTTGCTTAAATTATATCTTTGATAGTATTTTTATTTAAACTTTTGTCTTTATAATAGTAAATATTGTTGGTAAGCACAGCTCAGTTACTGTTGTTATTCAATTGATTTGATTATTTATTCAAAGGAAACTGCCAGTTTCTCCTTTGCTTCTTTGCCTCTTCTTTCACACTTGAGGACCCTCATGGCTATGCTGATTTGAATAGAGTGGATCAGGATCACTGATGGCCTCGTAGAGTTCATTTCTTCAAAACCTGTTGGGGGGCAGGTAGGTAAGCAAATCTTAATAAAATCCAAGGAACATTACAAAAGAAAGAGTTTTATACTGTGTTTGATTTTTTGTTTGGGTTTTTTGTGGGGGGTTTTGTTTGTTTTTTGTTTTTGCTTTGTTTTGTTTTGGTTTAGTTTTTGGTGATTTCATAGGTGAGACTCCTTTGAAGTGGATTTTTAAGGTCTTAAATAAGGTTTGGTCACAAAAATGGAAACCAGGAACCCCAAAGTAAAGCCCATTGTTTTAGTCAGCTTTTGTATTGCTGTTACCCAAATACTCAACAAGAGTAACATAGAGGAGAAAAAGTTAACTTGACTCACAGTCCTAGAAGTCTCAGTCTTTCATATTTCTCTGGGCCCAAAGTGAGACAGCATATCATGAATGAAGGGCCCAGCAGAGGAAAACTTCTCAACTCATGGTGTGATTAGGAAGCAGAGACAGAGTGAGGGAAGGAAAGATGCATCCTTGCAGGGCACAGCCCCAGTGACCCACCTGCCCCAGCCTCCACACACCTGCCAACAGTCACCACCCAGTCAATCCATTCAAAGTAGAATGGCCAGAGTAGGTTACAGCTTGTATAATTTAATCATTTCACCTCTGAATATTGCGCATTAAGAGAAGATCTAGGGGGACACCTCATTTCCAAACCATAATACCCACCATAAATATTAAATAAATATATGCCCATAGTTTGGAGAAGAGCTGGTTTTGCACAGCATGTAATCAACTGGAGAACTTTTAATATACTATGCCAGAGAAGTGACTGTACATGAGGGTATATTTTTTTATACCCTGTACTCTTAGGAGCTCAAGAGTTAAACCCCACTGCACTGTGCATGTAACTAGACCTAAAAGGATAGCTCTGGTCAACAAGAATGAATCACACCAAGTCAGACCAAGTTTACATCAGCAAGACTGCAAGAAAGGAGACCCTGAAACAAGATTTGGATGTAGCTGGGTTATTGGCTCACTATGTCTACTGGAAGGGAAGGAAATAGAACAGAAAAGGGACAGAAATGTGACACAATTTCAAAAAGGCCTAAGCCAAATCTGTAAAAAGCCCTGGAGCTGAGGGGACTCTTCAGAATTGTCCCTGGAAGGCAGACAGAGACCTTCCCTTCAGTGGATATGGGCTGTTGGGGAGAGTTAGATAGCAGAGAGGAAGGGCAAAACCCTGGTATGAGACCTCGGCTTAGGTGGCTCTTGGTGATCTAGGGCAAGTCCCACAGAGGGACTTAGGTGAGAATCCTCAGCCTCCAATGCTCCCATTAGCTACAGAAATAAGGGGCACCATCCTAGAAGGTAATGGAACAGTGCTCCCACAACAGCCACTACAAACAATTACCAAAGACCTGAACCTCATGAGAATATCCTCTAGCTCTTGGAGTAGGTCAGCAAGAAAAAAAAATTCATTACATGATATAATTGAGGAAGGACACATTTTTAAATTTCATTTCCAACAAATACATGAAAGTGTGAATATGCAAGTAGTGATCTATGAAATTACTTACTGATTGCTTTCTATAGTTCTACTAAGGCTGAAACGTTAAAAGAATTTTCTGTAATTTTAAAATATCTCTCTCCAGATCCTGAGACATTGACCATAAACCATGACTTTTTTGTGGGGGCAGGGGTGTACCAGGGATTGAACTGAGGGGAACTAGGCCATTGAGCCACATCCCCAGCCCCATTTTGCATTTCATTTACAGACAGGGTCTCACTGAGTTGCTTAGTGCCTCACTTTTTTGCTGAGACTGGCTTTGAATTCATGATCTTCCCACATCAGCCTCCCAAAAGACTTTTTTAAGTTCTATGTGATTCTTTCTTTCTTTCTTTCTTTCGTACTGGGGATTGAATTCAGGGGCAGTCAACCACTGAGCCACATCTCCAACCCTATTTTGTATTTTATTTAGAGACAGGGTCTCACTGAGTTGCTTAGCACCTCACCATTGCTGAGGCTGGCTTTGAACTCAAGATCCTCCTGCCTCAGCCTCCTAAGCCACTGGGATTACAGGTGTGCACCACCACCCCCAGCTGTGATTATTTTAAACAGGGCTTGAGATGGAAGCAGGGCCTCCCAGATGCTGAGTACTCTACCACTGGGCTACACCCCCAGGTTCTATGTGATTTTTTTTTCTTCTATACACTGGCTCTATGCCTTCTCTCTACTATTTCTTTCCTTTTCACTGTCAGTTGAGATTCAGTTACCGTTCTCTGTCTCAGTTCTAACCAGAACTTATGGCTGGGAAGGCTGACAATGAAATGTTGTCAATAAAATAAAAAAGAAGACTGATAGGCAGGGTAATTTGTGAAATCCTGACTCATCTTATATGGCATCTCTTACCACAGATCCCACCAATGCTCTTTCCTCTGTTTTGGAGAAGCTAACAGGTATGGGCATGCACAGTGGTCACCTCAAATCTCAGGTGGATATTGACACTAAGTCACACTACCTTAACATGCAGCAGGATGGGAGATCGTGGCATGTACCCACATAAAGTTCTTCCTTTACTCCCCAGTCACCAGCACAAGTCATTAATGGTAACAATAGCCAAAACTATCAACAGAAGCATGACTGCATAGGCATCAGAGAGAATTTATAAAATAGAGCTAAGTAGCTCCTTGTTTTCCTCCACATTTGGAAATCATGGAATAAATGAGTGTTCTGTTGCATTTTGTACCATATATAGTCCTCAGAAGGTACTCTGCTTCTTGTAGAATCGCTATGGCTTTGTGCTCAACTAGGAAAATGAATCCTCAATTCAAAACTAGGAAAACACTTCAAATTCAAATTTTTTAATACAAAGCATAATTCTAACCAGGCTTTTTTTAATAAACAAAAAATATGCCCAAAAAAGCATGCTGAACTAAATGAATTTATAAATGTAAATGCTGCAATATATTGAACACATTTAATCAGTTAAACTAATTCTGAGGAAAAGATACAGTACCTGATTTTGATGGTCAACATATGTCCAGATATTTTTATGATCATACTTTCATGAAGCAAATATGAATTACTAATCTTTTGCCTTGGAGCTGAATGGATGAATAGTTGCGTAAGTTATTTGACTTGACAGGGATCTGGACTAAGCATTCTATCAGATTAAGAACAAGATGGAAATAATTCCACATTGGAAGATTTGCTTTGTGTTGGGTAGTGACATGAATTCTTTCTCTGCTTTATAAATCAGTTTCTTAATTACCATGCTCAAAACCTGGCAACCCAAGCCATTTTGTCTTTTTTTAGATTATCTAAAGCAAGAGCTATACTATGATATTTTACCTTTTTTTATGAACTATAACAGTGTGATTGAATGAAGTTAATCTGACCAGCCCATTTTTTTCTAGAATGTCCCTCTTCTTACTGACATCTTTTTGATAATCAAGTATCTGTTGAAGATTAAAATCCATCTTTCTAAAAGTTAAGCAATTAATGTTACTTTAGTCACATACACACACACACACACACACACACACACAAAAAAAAAAAGTCTTTAGGTATTTGAATTCAGAAGTATTTCATTTTGCTAATTGGATCAGTGTTTATAACATAAAATCTGCTCTAGTGACCATGAAAAAGGACAGACAAGTTAAGAATCATATCAATATTGACTAACAAAATGGGTTTTCCACTGTGATGGCCAACACATAACTTTATTTACTAAAAGAATGGATATCAAATGGGTAAAATATTTAGTCTTCTGTGAGAGAAAAAAAAAATGTTGTCTTTGTAAAATGACTTTTCATTTAAAGAATTAAAGAAAATAACACTTTCAAAAGTCACAGTTTATTGAGAGATCAATGCTGCCCTTAAAACTGGACAAGAGAATCCAGAGTGTTTTAGAGCATTCTGCATATCAGCAACACATTCACAAAGAAATATATGAAAAGGAAGGCAGACATCTCAGTCATCAGAATTCAATACACAATGCAATCCCTGCTAGTGATATGCTGATGTTTAAGAACCTATTCAAGAGGATCAGGAGGGACCCTCTTTGTAGTATGTACAGAGTATTAAAACTCCCACTATGCTGATTCAAACCTCCCAATGTGATGTTAGGATATCACAGCTGGAGGCTATTCCCTATCTCTTGCTCATCATCCACTAAACAAAAGGTGACTGTATCTAAACGCCATGAGGTTTTCAGTGTTAGATTTCTGACAATGTCAGAAACAGACCTGCTCCTAAGTCTGAGGAAGATTTGATCAGTAGAAACTTTAAGATAAATGACAGAATTAATTTGTCAATTCCTTCTAAAATAGCTCAAATGCAGTAGATTCTTGAATAAGTAAATTTCATAGTTTGAGCAGAAATAACATAAATGAGTAATTTTTCAAGAAGAAAAGAAAAAGCAAACTTTGAGGGATATAATTATAATAATTTGTGAATTGTATATGTATTTATTTGATCACTCATTCGAACATGACTGGCCTATCAACAGAACATTTATGCAAGCACAAGAATAAATCCAATTATCTTTGCTATCTTGCCATACTTCAGTCATTTTAATAATATGATTTTGCACATGGGAAATTTTTATGTTGGGAAATATTGTGGAAATATGTG